TATGCTGCTCACCAGCATGAGTGCAGCAGGCAGGTTAAGCAAACATATTGTCTAACACCTCAAAGCTAGCCTCTCAGGCTGGCACCTGTGTGTTGGTCCTGTGAGTGCCACAACGTCTTGCCCGCCAAACTTGCTAGCCTGAGTAGCTAGACAGTGCCCGTAGCGGCACTGGATGGGTATAGTGTACAGATATAGGAAAACGGCGTTTCACCCTGTTTCAACCATTTTCGCGTAGTTCATGGGGCTGTGCACGTGCTGGCCGATCTTGCCTGGCCACTGCAGAGAATTGTTACAATGTGCTTGACTGCTGCATCTCGGAAGGGAATGCTACGCCCTTTCGCTGTCCATTGGGAGCGTCTCTCGCATTACTCCCGTTGCCAAGCCGTTTTGGAGTCCGTGCGGGATCGACGCTCTCGTTTTTGCCCCCTCCCCCCTTGGGGGGAGGATCGGGGCACGCTGCTTTGCAACACTGCTCCTTTTCTTTCGGCATTTTGGAGATTCCGATAGCAAGCGCAGTGGTCTTCCTTGAATTGCCACATCATGCCAAACTTTGAGCCCCAGGTCATCGAGCGAAGCAAGTCAACTCAGCCTGCGTCCAGTTTGTCCTTAGGGGACCCTTTGTCGGCTATTATACGCGACACACTGATGCCTCTCAATTGCATTGCAAGTACATAACTTGTCATCGCCTCTAACCCGTTCAGGGGGGTCTCGATGTGCCTCCCGTTACGATTCCAAAATTCCTGACTCTGCCATGAACTAAGCAAGTTCTAATCAGTTTGTTGAGGGACAAGAAGTACTGAGAGTTTTGCGGAATTCATTGCCCCTGTCTCACCTCTTCTCGTACGGCTTCCATGGCCACACGAGTTGCGCAACAGGTTGCTTCCCTCTTCTGGTGGTTTTGTGTTTTGGTTGTGTGGTTTGGGTGTTTGTTTCTCTGTTTGGTTTGCAACCTGTATAGTAACTCCTTCTTAACTCGACCAAGGTGACTTGTGCAGAACCTGCACACATAGCGCCTCGACTCGTGCAAAAAAAATGTTTTGAGACAGTTTCATTCTTTTCTGTTCTTGGCTCTTTCGTTCGATGCCGTCATCGTCGCTTCTGCACGGAGAGACAAAGGGCCGAGGCTTATTCAGGTTTCTTTAGGACTTTGGGCCTGTTCAGGCAATTCGTGAGTCCCCATTGGAAAAATCAGTGGACTCAGGAATGGCAATTTTTCATTGCAGATGATGATAGTTTCATTCTTTTGGGTGTGTTTCCTTCATCTCAGCGCTGACGCGTCGGGTCCGCGCAGTGCTTCCTCCCTCAGCCATTTTTTTGGTTTTGGCTCCAAGGCTCGACAAAATGCGGTTATACCAGCCGCTTAGCATGCCCCGCTTGGGACATTGGCCACCCATAGCCAGGCAACCAATTTGCTTCATGTGCTCCCGAGTGGAGCCGCTTTCCTCCACCAGTTGGAGGGCCCATTGGGATCCGCGTGATCCCGCGCATGCTGCGTTGCTCGCGCAGCCACTGCTTTCGATGCCAAATGTCGTCCCTGTGCTCGCCTAGCACGGCACCGCCTGTGCCCGCTTCGGGACAAAAAGGCCGCTCGCCAGAGTTTCATGTTTCCACTTGCATGCATTTTGCTTCTGTCACATGTTGTGTGGTAGGCTTGCCATTTCAGATTTTCTTCAACTTTCTCTCTCTTTTCAACGTTTTTTGTTTTTTTTGGTCTGTCCTTGCATCAATGAGCACCTTTAACAGATTCCATGTATGTGGCCACCAGGCTCTCAGTTGGCCCTTTGCATTCATTCATGTTGCCATGCCTCTTCACTGTACGTTTTTTTTTACACATGTTGTTGTAGTTCCCATGTACTCTTTCGTTGTTCACTTCCACATAATTAAATAAACAAATATATATATATATATATATCCAAAGAAAATACACAGTTTCTTCCTTTCTAACTCATCACACAGCGGAGCGTCCACCATGGACCCGGGTTCAGGCATTGCTCTGGATGCTCGTTCCCAGGGTTTGGATTCCCTATTGCAACAGCATCGCGTGCCTTCTGAGATCCAAGATGCCTTGCAGTCCGAACAATTTGATGTAGCCAGCTTTGGAATGATTGCTCTCTCTTTGCAAGAGTTTGATCAAAGGTTGGATGAATTGAACCTGCCCAGTTTGACGCAAAACGAGCCCCTAGAGACTCTTGCGCCACTCATTCTTCATGCTATCTATGATGAATGCCCATGGACTGAACAGTGGGAGACCCTGCTCTGGCATATGGCACAACATTATAGTTTCTGGTTGGTAGCCCCACTCGAACCTCCTCCTAGCAGAATACAGATCAATTGTGGAGGGCTAGGGGGGGCACTCTCGATGGCCCACATGCTCCAGTGTTTCATTGTACACACCCAAGAGTCAACGGAACTTGTGTTTATGGGCCCTCACTCGCGCCTGCAGACCGGGTAGGAGACAATGGGACAGGGGTTGCTGCTGGCCACACTACCAGCCTGCGTGAGCTCGCCATGATCATGTCACTCACCTCTGATCCGTGTGAACGATGGGAAGAGCTAGGATTTGGTCGTTCAGCTGTCCTCTATCGACGTGCGCAGGTGACCTTGGAGGCGGCGCGTCTGCTGCCAGCCCATCGTCGACTACCGCGTGTCTCTTTCCTTAGTGGGTTGTGGCGGAAACTTTTGTCGGTCCAACCAGCTAGAATTCTTATGTGTCTGCCTTACCTGCAGCGAATCGGCAATCGCACTAGTGCTGAGGGGCTCTACGCCCCCAGGGAATTCCATATAGAGGGTTTCAGTGCCGGTAGCTACATAGGAGCCGTGATGGTGCTGGCCATTCGTGTCTTGTTCCCTGAGTGTAGGACCTCGGCCAAGCTGGGTGCAATTGCAATGCCCAAAGGAGTGTTCGCAGCGTTGCTGGAAGTCGCCAACCCCGGTCAATGCAACATCCACCTCATCCATGCGGAAGAGGACACCCTGTGCGACTGGCAACCAAGCCAAGTGGACCGGTATGTCATGTCACATCGAATCACGTACACACTTGTAGCGGAGTCTGATAAATGGATGGGTGCTAACAAACATAAGTATTGGCACTGGCTGCGCTGCCAGCTTCCGGCTGGCAGATACAATCTCACAGACTTAAAACTCAGCCACCCAGACATCATCCCTGTAAGAGACAGGATGGCAGCACCTTTGAGGCTGGCGTCCTGGATACGGTTTGAGACAGTCATGCACCAGCAGGACTGGATTGCAGCTATTGAGATGCTGGTGCCTAACATCCATCTGCCGGATGAAGCTTTGCTTCGGCTTCTGTGTAAGTGTGCGCCGGATCAAGGCATCACGTCCATGGAAGAAGCGCAGGCACTCTTGTTGCGCAACTTTCGAGTTGGTGGGGGCCAGAAAGATGCATGTGCACAATGGCTCACTGACATGACCCGGGCCTTGCTTGCCCCGATTCCCTTTCGAGAAGTTTTTGTCATCTTGGCCCTCTTTCTACCACAGCTTCCCTTTGCGGAGGGGGCCAGACTTGACAACCGTCTCTGGGCAAGCCCCGCAATCCGCCGGGACCACAGTGAAGTCCAAATCACTCCGCTCTCCCAGGGACTACGGGGCATGCGTGAATATCGAATAGCTTTCACAGCACGTTCGCGGGCAGCAGCCTTCTGCCCCCCTAGCTTGCTAAATTGCAGTTTTGAACAACTCACCAAATTGCCGCCTGAGCAGATTCACATAGGGTGCCAAGTAGGCAAAGTATACAGGATGGTGCTCCGTGAAAACCATGCAGTGTATGCTCTCCTTGTGGTGTTCCTGGAGTTCGTCACACAGCCCAAGAAATCCAAACAAGGGACCACAGAAACCTATGAGGAGACCGCAGCTAGGCAGAGTAGCCCCAGGTCATGGGTTGTGGCTTTCATTCCCTTTCCTGAGACATTTGCCCCCCTTCCAACACAGGAAGAAACAGGCATGACAAAGGATGCAAGATGGATGCTACCGCCGAGCATGAAGCTGCTCGAAGCACGAACCTTTGGGCTGCAAATTCTTAGCCTTGCAGAAGTCGGGAACACGGTCTCTGCTGATCACCTGCTGCAAATGGCAACGATGCCGCTAGAGCACAAAACTACTGCCCTGGGAATCCCATACCATCATCAGGTTTCTTACCTCTTTGACGGTACTGATGTTCTTATGCAGAGCTTGCACTCGCTGTTTGGACTGCTGGTGACGGGCAATACCCCTAGGTATTGTCCCCAAGCCTCCCAGTCTGGTAAGGACCTGTGTGTTGCAGCTCGCACCGATAGCGCTCACATTATATCCATTGCGCTCTCATTGGCCTCAGCCTTGCAAACAGGGCGCTCGACACTGGCAGTTGCAGGGGTTCTTGGCGCTGGCAAGACCCGATCTCTTACCTTTTTGCTCGCATGGATTGCCATCACCGCGAACTTAAAGGTTGGGGTTGTTCAGAAAGAAAACCCAGCCGGACGCGCAATCACCAAACTCCTGACCTCCCTAGATCTTGCAGCGGAACAAGCGCAGCTCTTTGATCGACCAGTAGGAAGGGAAGAGGCTGATGCCAACACAGCGTGTACTCCATACGACCGTGCTACACAAAGCTGCGCAGCCGCAATTCCCAAAGCCAAAGTAGTCATCGCGACCACTGGTCTGGTGTGGGAGCAGAAAGGGCAGCTCCACTCTCCCCTGCGAGTGCATATGGAAAGTGTAGATCTGCTAATAAGTGAAGAAGCCCAACGGGACATGGATCTGAAGTCAGCGTTTGTCCCAGCGGTCCCGCGGCAGCCATTCTTCAGAATCCTCTTGGGCGACCCGAAGCAGAGGCTCGAGGGATTGCCCACTTTATCGAGGACGTGCCGGTGTCCGAACTGGGTTCGCCACCAAGACCGAGCGGGCTGCTGCTTACCCCAAACTGCTCTGCGACGCCATTGCCGAAGTTGGTCGTTGATGTATTCAAGAAATCGCTCGCCTTGGAGTTTTGGCGCTATCAGCTCAGGATGAAGGCGGCAGAGGTTTCAAGCCTGCAGCAAAAATGGCTCAACGAAGAACGCAAACTTCGTGGCCTCTCCATCGCCGACACGAAAAGGGAGAAGCGTGACTTGGAAAGGTCCCTTGAGACCATGTGGAATGAGCAAGGGCTTGCAAGGTCTGCAGCGAAGATTTCGAAGAAGGAGCTTCGGGAGACAGAGAACGACATGTCGGTCGGCGGGATGAGAAACCCTGATCTTGCAGTAGAGCGGCTGACGCTAGTGCGGGAGACGGGAGCAAAGTTGAGAGCCGAGTGGGAGAAGATCTATGCGGAGGAGCCGGACTTTGCAGAAGTCGGGACCACCTACGGGAGCAGGGAGGCAAAGCTGGACGAGGACCTGTGCAAGCGCTGGAAGGAAAGGCTGTTGGCTACACTCGGAGGCCCAGCGCAGATGGAAGGCATTCTACTGCAGGCGAACACAGAGTACAAGTCGCCATTAGATCTATGGCACGCTTGGCAGGTTGCTTCGAAGGACCCTGACCTTTGCCTCCAGCAATTCATCCGGGAAGGTGTTCCGCTGCGGATGTCTTCGAAAATTCCTCCATCTGGCGGAGTCTTTCCGCCGGCCCGGAACCAAGAGATCCAGTCCGTGGAAGCGCAGGTAGAGTTCGAGGAGTGCCAGAACATGGTGAATTACTCTTCGGTACAAGAGCACCCGCGAGAGGCTGAAGAGGAGATCTCGAGGTACGAGGCGAAGGGTTTGTGAGGAGGATGCCATGGGCTGAAGCAAGGGATGCATACAGCATTGGTACAGTGTCAAAGCTCGCCCTGATTTTGAAACCAAAGGCGGACGGATCGGTCAAGAAAAGGATCGTCATAGACATGTTGCGAAGCGGAGGCAACAGTCGCGCCGATGTACCCGAGCGTATAGTGTTGCCAAGAGGGCTATGCGCAAAATGGACGAAGCGGAGCCTGCAGTGTGTGAAGATCCTCAACGCGCGACAGAGTTCTAGACCTCACCGACGCCCTCTGTCATTTCGCAGTGACGAGGGACGAATTGCATCTCCCCCGACGTCCGGGATGGACAGGCTTTGGTGTGGGTAGCTATGCTGTTCGGTTTCAAGGCAGCGCCGTTGTTGATGGGGCGGCTGAGCGCAGCTTTGGGCAGGTTGCTTCAAAGTATGGTCCAGCCGAACGACGGTGATGCAGATCTACATCGACGACCTGCTGATCGCAATGCGAGGTCGCCCAGAAGAACGATGCAAGCTCCTTTCGATGTTCCTGTGCACAATGCGAGCCCTGGGCATCATGATCTCGTTGGAGAAGCGAAAGGGGCACGAGGGTGACTTGGATTGGCGCACAGTTCGAGGTGTTTGAGACCCGCAAGCCGGAGAATGGACGGCGCATCACGGTGGCCTCCCCTTCAAGATGTGCAAAGAGGTGTATGACACCTTGGTGGAGTGGACGGGGAAAGGTATGATCGCTGTCAAGGAGCTGCGCGCCATCACGGGCCGCCTGTCGTGGATGGCAGGCATCCTCCCCCGGCTGCGATGGACCACGTCAGTGTTCTATGCGGTCATCACGGACGCCATGCACGACATTGAGACGGGCCAGGAGCTTAAACGAGCAAAAGGTCGCGACGGTGATCAGAGGCCAAAGGTGGGGCTTGTGGCAGTGAAGCGGTTGGGAGCAGCCTTGAACTGGCTGATTGCGGTGTCCAACGGCTTCAAGCTCCAAGCCCGGATCATGTGGCTGAAAGAAAAGCCGGCAGAGTGGGGTATCATCTCGGACGCTTCGCCGATGGGACTGGGAACAATTCTTTGGAAGAAGAACGCCGAGACGGGCCGCATCCAGATCATCGAAGCATACGAGGCTCCGTTCACCCCGGAGGAGGCACAGTGGCTTAAAGTGGATCACGGACAGTCCTCCTGGCAGTGTGCGAGGCGTACGCCATCTTGCGAGCGGTGAAGCTGTGGCAACGTCGCATCCAGTGCAAAGGCCTGATACTGAAGTCGGACAGTTCAGTGGCCCTCGGCATCGCCAAGAAGCTGAGCAGCCCCTCACCGTCGCTGAACTACATCGCTGCGGAGCTGGCGTGCCTGCTGGACACCATCGATGTTCGGCAGATCGAGATCTACCACATCCCAGGGACCTTCAACAAGGAATCGGATTGGTTGTCTCGGCCACATGAACGGGGGTACATGCCGGAGACACTGCAAGGCATCCGGCTCAAGAAGCTCAAAGGCCAGGTGCTCGAAAGGAGCTCAGGATTTTGTACAATCCATGGGCCGGCTTGCCTCAGCACCCCGGAAACGTGTGGGAGTCGCTGTAGCGACCTAGTGCGGCGCACGCGCTGGCCACGCGAGTCCGTGAAAAAGGGGGGTGAAAGCGCAGCTGGCCCTGACGTGTTGTGTCGAGTCTCGTACCGTCTGACCCTGTGACCCCTCACACTCGGTCGCTTCGAGGGTTCTTCTTCGAGGCGAGGAGAGGTGGGGTCTTAATGCTCGGTAGCCATGACGGCCCCAGCAATCCGGTCGGTCGACGTCCCCTTGGAGGGGACCCCGCTGCTGTGGCACGTCGTCCGCTGCACGCTTTTGGTATGGGGGGTAACCCTCATCTTGGCCTTCGCAGCGGGCTGGAGATCGTCAACATGGTGGCACGGGTCGCGGCGCAGCCAGCCGGAGGAGGTAGAGGGCGACGAGTCAGATCAGAACAGGAGGAGACAATGGCACAGCAGCGAAGACAGAGAGAGGAGACATCGTTCGAGAGTGAGGTCGGAGTCCCTGCATCGGCAGCCAGAGTTGGATCGACAACCCCACAGGCCTTTACATGCACTATGGGGAGGTCCAGGCACAACTTCATCACCACCGAGGCCTCGCTCAGCGTCCGCGGATGCAGTAGCTGGGTCCCCAATTCGATCAGGGGGAATGACAACGTCAGAGGAGGCAACGCCCGAGGCGGCAGTGGCAAGGAGATCCAGGAGCCCAACGACCGCGCAAAGCCGTCCAGAGTGGATGAACGCAGTGACGGAAGAGGACACTTGGTCTCTGTCCAGCCCAGGCGGAACGAGGGAGAAATTCTTGAGGATGAGGAGACCGGGAGGCGTGTTGGACCAGATGCTCGAGCACGCGAGTCCAAGGCGGCCATGACCATAGAGGACGCGGTGGCGAGAGCTCAATCGAAGAGTTGGGTCAAAGCGACGGCGAACCGATTCGTGATAAAGTTCCATGCGACGTCAACTTGGCTGAGTAAAAGGTCGAAGCGACGCAAGATCGGACAGCTGTTGAACGTGATCGGACTGGAGGGCCCACCGGTTTCTGAGGAAGCACTAACACAAGTGTCGGCCTTATTGGATCATAGCAACACGCAGTCCGCGGACCAGTACGTGGCAGAGCAAGTTGTGGCATGTGGAGGCCGGCTTCCAGTCGACCGAGGCGCTGGAAAGAAGGCTCGTCCTGTGCATGAAGAGGGACATAGGACCAGAGAAAAGAGCTCTGGAGGTGAGGCTGGACGAACTGGACGACTTGCTATGGGATGTGGAAAGGACGAAACCCTCCGAACCTATGAAAGTGGCATGGTCCTATGCGTAGGAAGGAGGTGCGGCTCTTCATCCCGAAGTCGAAGATGGACCAGCAGGCTAAGGGAGCATGGAGAACACTGCAATGCTGCGGGGAAAGACATTGCGACGTTTTGTGTCCGTGGAACCTAGCCGTCAGGGCCCTCAGCTGCCTCAAGGACAAGGAAAGCCCCCTCTTCCCCACGTACACTGGCACCCAAGTCTCCAAAGAACAGTTGGTGAGAGCCTGGCAGAACAACCTCAACCCGAGGATGTCAGGGCACTCGGCCAGGAGATCGGGAGCTATGATGTACACGAGGAAGGGACTGGGAATCTATGACATCTCGTTCCTGGGCAGGTGGAAGTCGTCAGCAGTGTTAGGATACATAGAGGACGCCCTGGAAGAGATGCCCTTGAAAGAGCCCGAGCAACAGACAGAGCAACAGCAGTATCGAAGGAGGTACTGCCCGTCCAGGCGAACATCGATGAGGTGAAACAGGAGAAGAAGAGAAAGAGATCTGAACAGCCTCACGAGGTACAGCCCGAACCGGAGAATATCGCGAACCACATCATGCCCCTAGAACCGCCCATTGACAAGTCCCAGCTCTTTGCAGTTTTTACCTCAGCAAAAGGCAAGGTCAGGCACACAGTGGCCAACGCGGGGTGGGGTATTCCGCTGGACAAGTGGAAGACGACCTGCGGCTGGCCATTTGCCCGGTACCACGTGAGAGTGGTGCTCACCAAGTACAAGACGGGCAAAGCAAAGGAATGCATGAAGCGCAGAGACTTGGAAGCAGGGCGCGACAAAGTCAGAGGAGGTTGGAAGTTGGCGCAATCCATTGACCTGTAGAAGATGGGCAA